GTCCGGGTCCGTGGGCGCTTTGACCCAAATCCATTGACCCCTCCAGTCGTTGTCTGAAGAGTCGTTCGGCCACATGGTTAGGTACTGGGGCCGAGACTCAATCCGGTACCACCCAGGACAATGATCTCCATGCCCACTTTGAATATTTGGCACTAGCCGATGGAGCTTCTTGAAGCAGTGCAGGTTCGGCACATATCTGAAGAACTTACAGCCCCACAAGTATTTCATCACCCTTCGGATGCTGACAAGAGTTAGCTGGCACAAGGAAATATTATAGTGGATCAGCAAGTCTCGGACGAATACGTCCAAAGGGAACCTCAGCCCATACTAAAGTTGTCTCGTGTACACCCCCACATACCCCAGGGGCGGACGATGGATTATATCGGATGCCACAGGCATTCGGCACCAATACCCATCAGCTTCAAGGATGTCGTAATGCAATTCAATCTGCTCGGCAAACTGATATTCTTCGGCATTCTCTACCCACCATGAGTAAGGGTGGTTCTTTATCATGGCCGAGGCTACTTCGACATCCTCCCACTCTGTAAATCTAGGGAGGATATCCCAAAGGATGGCGGGGACTTCTTCGTCCCGCCCAGATACGCTTAGCCCCTCCGTTCCCACAGGAGGCGCCGAAGAAATTGGAGTCGCCCTGATCCCTTCAGCAGGATCAGACCTCGCTCTTTGTCCATTCCATGTCCCAGTCCTGTTCCTAGGATCGGGATTCTGCCTTGCTCTCCTTGGAGCACGGGCCCTTCCTCTAACTCCTCTCAACAAGGTTGGGTTTCGAGCAAAAAGTCGAAAAAAGAAAGGGGGAAAGAGTTCAAATTCGAAGAAAAAATAAACCAAAATCAAAGGAAATTACCTTAATCCGAAGCGGAATTCGCCGATCTACGAGCTGGTAGTGACGAATTTCAGTTTCTAAGCTTAATACTCGGGGAGTTTGCGAAGTTTTGACGCGGGTTCTTGGGTTTTCTCGAGAATTTTGAGTTTGTGTCGGTGAAGAAGTGAGGAGAGATGATGCGCCTCTGATTATATCTCCAGAAATGGGAATTCTGGGAGTCCGCGCTTTAATTTCTCTTAAACACCCCACTAAGTAACCGTTAAACACACATTCCCACAATTAACCTCCCATTATCCGTCCAACTTCCATAATTATCCACCCAGCCGCCGTTATTTCATTAATTGCTGTTTAAATTCAAATTTTTTGGGTTAATTAAATCATTTACTTCCCTCCATTTTCTGATTAATCAAACCCGACCCGTCATACTTCCAAGTCGGGTCTGGGGGGCAAGTTGTTTGGGTCCAATTTAGTCCAATTGGGCCAAGCCATCAAATGATCCAATTAAAAGCCCAAGGTCAGGGTTCAACTCTCCAATTATGCTAAAGTCAAGGTCAGTCCACAGAGCAAGTCAATTGGGCCAAGGCCCACTTCTCCAATAAGTGCAAAGGTATAAAAGCCATAAATATCACATTTGTAAGACACACAAAGCCTCAAGAAATTAATTCTCTTGCATAGCTTTCTCTCTCTACACATTGTACTGACTTTAGCATCGGAGGGGCCTTCCTCGGCAACACCCCCGAGGCTAGTTTACGTGTGTTTGCTGTGCAGGAAACCCTCGACCCAACATCACTTGGACCGAGACTAGTCTTCATCCACTACATTGGACCTTCGGCAAGGTCCCATTGTTTTCATCCGAAACAATAATTTTTCCAGAGATATTGAATTCAAGTTCTCGATTTGATTCACTTGCATCAAAGAACATAACAAGAGATTAATATCTATGATTTTTAGCATTTGGAAAGGGTTGCAGAGCAACCTCCAGGGCCGGCGCATAAAGATCATGACCGGCTCTCTGCTCCTCCCTATTGTGAATTGCGTTATTTGAGTTAAATATACGTATTACATAGGCAAAGTGAAGGGTTTTCATTTCTTGTGAATTGCGTTATTTGAGTTCAATCTTGATGCTTTATTTGATTTCATTTGCCAATTTTGGGTTTGTTTTTCTTGTTGAATTGCTTTGGGATTTATGAATTATGATATATGTGTTTGGGTATTCAGAATTTTGAGAAAATTATTAGTGTTTACTTGTTAAGTGTGTGTGTTGATTTTATGGTGAAGTTGATAAAGTTGTGGCTTTTTATTGGATTTTTTTTTTATTGATTGTAAAGAATGAATGTGTAGGCTAGTGAAAAATCTTGGTAAATTTCACCATTTCAGTTAAGAGAGACGCAGAGCCTCCGTCGGAGGGCCCGGGGATACCATTAGCCGTGGGTGGTGTGTGATTTGGGGAGTAAGTTTTCATTTTCTATTAGTAATTTTAGATCTCAAATATCAGATTTTCATCTTTAGATTTGGTCTTATTTTTAGAATTTCTTAATTATTTTCAATACAATATGGTCAGCTCCGTTTAATTTGTTGATTTTGCTATGTATTGTTTCCTAATTTTCTTGAAGTGTATAAAATTTTTAATTTCTTGATTTTTTTTAAATTTTATTTAGTCAGTTGACAATATTGATTTTTTTCACAACAAGTTGCAGTTTTGTGGGTGTTTGATGCGGCTGTTATGGGTTGTTTTGTGCGGTTGTTAAGTTTGATGGCTCTTTTTTTTTGCTTATGAGTCTTAGGGAGTAATTTGTTGTTTGTAATGTTTTTTTTTTTACGGAGGAATTAAGTTTATTGTAATCGAACTATTGTATTTTTAATGTATTTGATAGATAAAAAGTTACTGAGTATCATAAATCATGTTTATTTTATTTTACACGTTTGAATTGTTATTATTATTATTATTATTATTATTATTATTATTATTATTATTATTATTATTATTATTATTATTATAATCATAATAACAATAATTTTTTTTCAAAAAAAAAAAAAAAGAAAACAGGCGCCTATCTATGGTAGGCATTCTCTTTTCATATAGTTAGATGAGAACTCTCTTTTTCTTGTTTTTTATTTAATTTGTACCTAGAATATGAAGCGCCTATCAAAGATAGGCGATCTGTATTGTATTAGATATAGAACGCCTATAGACTTTATAGGGCACCCCATCAGAAGAACGCCTCTGAGGCGTTCTATATCCCTTGTTTTAGGCGCTCTATATTCCCTTTTTTGTAGTAGTGAAGATGGGTAGATTCTCTTGTGTGGAGGTTGATGATGCAATTGCTGAGAAACATCTTGAAGACATCCAGATTAAGCTGCAAAGTGATCCTGGTAATGAAGAATTAATCAGTCAAGAAAGATTGGCTAAGATTCAGTTTGCTAAAACTCATACTAATAGATTTAACTTCTTAAAACAAAAGGCTAAATTTCATTGGCTCAAGGATGGTGATTTGAACACAGCTTTGTTCCATGCTATGATCAGAAAGAGAAGACTTTAGAATAGTATTTAATCTATTGTAACTGAGGAGGGAGTGGTTATTTCAGATCCAGGGCAGGTGTGTGATGCTTTTCTGCAGTATTATCAAGGATTACTTGGTACTGAGACTCATATGAATTGTAATATCCATCATGGAGTTATTTATGAAGGGAAAGTGCTTTCTAAAGACTAGGGCATCAATATTTGCAGGGAGTTTTGTGAGCAAGATGTTAAGAGAGCTTTGTGGACCATTGAGGATTACAAAGCTCCTGGGCCTGATGGGTTTTCCAGCAAGTTTTACAAGGGTACCTTGAGCTTGATTGGTTCTGATATCACTAAAGATGTTCTGGACTTTTTTAGTTCAGGTAAGCTTCTTAAGCAAATTAATGCTACCACTCTTTGATCCTTAAAGTTGAGCATGCTAATAGGGTCACTCAATTTAGACCAATTGCTTACTGTAATGTGGTCTACAAGATCATTTCTAAAATGATTTGTGATATATTGAAGGAAGTATTACCTGAGTTGATTGATGGCTGTCAAGGAGCTTTTGTGTCTGGGAGATCTATCTTGAATAATATTCTAATTCGCCAGGATATGCTTAAAGCTTATAGTAATAAGAGGAAGCCTCCCAGATGTACTATAAAGGTTGATCTAAGGAAAGCTTATGATTTTGTTAATTGGATATTTATTCATGAGATGCTGAGTGCTCTTAATTTTTCCACCAAGTTCATCTCCTGGATCATGTAGTGTGTGACCACTCCTTCCTTCTCTTTGTTACTCAATGGTGGTTCTTATGGTTTTTTCAAAGGGAAAAAGGGTGTGAGGCAGGGTGATCCTATGTCCCCTCTCTTGTTTGTCATTGTAATGGAGTATCTAACCAGGCTCCTCAGGAAAGTTGGTAAAAAGAAAGAATTCAAATTTCACCAGAGATGTGCCCATTTGGCTCTTAATCATTTGATCTTTGCTGATGATCTGATGCTCTTTTCTTATGGTAACATTGATTCTATAAAACTTCTTATTAGAGCTTTGAAAACCTTTGCGACAAGATCAGGGCTTCAAGCAAACCTCAGTAATTTACTTTGGGAATGTTCAACAGTAGGTTCAGGACAATATTTTGATGAATTCTGGTTTTGTTATTGGGGACATGCCTTTTAGGTATCTTGGTATCCCTCTAAATGCCAAATACCTTAAAGTGAGTGATTATCATAACCTGATCGATAAAATGTTGATGAGATTGCAAAGCTGGAGTAGTAGAAATTTGTCCTATACTGCTAGAGTTACCCTTATTAACTCTGTTCTTATGAGTTTGCATACTTATTGGGCTCAGTGTGTTCTTCTACCTAAGAGAGTGGTGGATAGAATCACTCAACTATGTAGAGCCTTCCTTTGGAGTGGTAATGTTGTGTTGTCTAAGTCCCCCCCCCCACTTGCCTGGGATTCGGTGTGCAGACTCAAGAAGTTTGATGGTTTAGGTATTAGACATTACAGAAACTGGAACAAAGCTGCCCTGGGAAGCTATGTCTGGAAAATTGCAAAGAAATCTGATTCACTATGGGTTAGATGGGTTCATGATGTCTATATCAAAGATGAGGATTAGTGGGTTATAAACCAAAGAAAGATGCTGGTTGGGCCTTGAAGATGTTATGTAAGGTTAAAGATGAACTTAGAGAGGGGTTTGAGACTGAGGATTGGTTAAATAAAAGATACAGAATCAAAGATGGTTACAAGTGGCTTCAGGGTAGCATGGAAAAAGTAAATTGGTATGACTGGGTCTGGAATCACTTCAACATTCCCAAGCATACTTTTATTAACTGGCTTTCAGCGTTGGACAGGCTCAGAACTAGAGACAAACTTGTTCAGTTTGGGGTATGTGACTCTACTGAATGTCTTCTGTGTGGAGAGGATGTTGAGACCAGTAATCACCTGTTCTTTGCTTGCAGCTATAGTGCAAAGGTTATTGATGATGTTGCTTATTGGCTTGGACTTCATAATTCCCTTCTGCATTCTCTTAATAATTGGAAGAACTGGAAAGAAAGAGGCAAAAACTCTATTCAGCAGAGAGTGGCTCTGGCTTGCTTGTCTGCAGTTGTGTACAATATTTGGATGGCTAGGAATCATGCTCTATGGTATAAAGTTGTACTAAGGCCAGATTTGCTATCAAAAGGGGTAAAGAGAGAAGTTGTGACTAGATGTCAGCAAATGATCAATCATACATGGAAGATTGAAGATTGTAAATGGTTGCAGCACCTCAAATCCTGCATTTTTATGTTTTTGCTGCCTTTGTTGCTGTCTTTTGTTGTTTAGCCTGGTTGTATGGGGTATTGGGTGTAGGTTTTCTTGCTTTTGCAGGTCTTGTTTTCCCTGAGCCCTTCCTAGAAGGTACCAGGGATCTCTTTGACCTGGTTTTGGTTTTATGTTCATGCTTTAAGCCCTTCCTAGAAGGTGGTAAGGCTGAACTTAAAATCATGGTGGTTGATTGCCTATGTTGTTAAGGCTTGTGTAATTTTGGGTTCCTGCTTGTCAGGAGTGTACATTATTCTTTTGTATAGTTTTTTTTTATCAATATACTTTTCTTACATTCCAAAAAAAAAAAAGAATAAGATGAAAGACAAACACATTACAAAAAACTTTTTGAATAGAATCAAAGTCCTACTCATTAAAATAAAGGTTTTTAAATTCAATGAAAGTCGAAACACTTTAAAACAAAGGTTTTAGAATCAAATGGAAGTCAAACAAACTCAAACAAAGCTATATGATTCAAATGAAAGTAAGACAAATTCAAACAAAGATTTTTGAATCGAATAAAAGTAAAATGCATTCAACGAAGCTAATTGAATCAAATGAAAGTTAAACACATTTAAACAATGCTTTTTTGAATCAAATCAAAGTTAACCACATTAAAACAAAGATTTTTAAATCAAATGAAAGTCAAACACATTTAAACCAAGTTTTTTGAATCGAATGAAAATCAAATGCATTCAACGAATCTAATTAAATTAAATGAAAGTCAAACACATTTAAACAAAGCTTTTTTAATCAAATGAAAGTGAAACACATTAAAACAAAGATTTTTGAACAAAATGAAGTCAAACATACTCAAACATAGCTTTTTGAATCAAAGGAAAGTCGAACTTATACTAACAATGCTTTTTGAATCGAATGAAAATCAATCACATTAAAACAAAGCTTTTTTAATGAAATGAAAATAAAATGCATTCAACGATACTAATTGAATAAAGTGAAAGTCCAACACATTTAAACAAAGCTCTATGAATCAAATGAAAATCAAACAAATTCAAACAAAGATTTTTTCCTCGAATGAAATTCAAATGCATTCAACGAAGCTAATTGAATCAAATGAGAGTCAAACACATTTAAACAATGCTTTTTGAATCAAATGAAAGGAAAAAACACATTCAAACAAAGTTTTTTAAATCAAAGGAAAGTCAAACACATATAAACATTGGTTTTTGAATTTAATGAAAGTAAAATACATTTAATCTTTTTGAATCAAATGAAACTCAAACACATTAAAACAAAGCTTTTTGAATCAAATGAAAGAAAACTTATTCAAAAAAAGCTTTTTGAATCAAATACAAGTCAAACACATTAAAACAAAGCTTTTTGAATCAAATTAAAGTTAAACACATTTAAACAATGCCTTTTGAATCAAATGAAAGGCAAAAACACATTCAAACAAAATGAAAATCAAACACATACTAACATTGCTTTATGAATTAAATGAAAGTCAAACACATTCATAAAAAGCTTTTTGAATCAAAGGAAAGTCAAACACATTAAAACAAAGCTTTTTGAATCAAATGAAAGAAAACTCATTCAAACAATGCTTTTTGAATCAAAAACAAGTCAAACACGTTAAAACAAAGGTTTTTGAATCAAATTAAAGTTAAACACATTCAAACAAAGCTTTTTGAATGTAATGAAAGTTAAACACATTCAAACAAAGCTTTTTAAATCAAATGAAAGTCAAACACGTTCAAACAAAAGCTTTATGAATCAAATGAAAGTCAAACACATTTAAACAAAGCTTTTTGAATCAAATGAAAGTAAAACACATTCAAACAAAGCTTTTAGAATCTAATGAAACTCAAATGCATTCAACGAAGCTAATTGTATCAAATGAAAGTATAACACATTCAAACAAAGCTTTTTGAATCAAATGAAATTCAAACACATTCAAACAAAGCTTTTTGAATCGAATGAAAGTAAAATGCATTCAATGAAGTTAATTGAACAAAATGAAAGTCAAACACATTGAAACAAACCTATTATAATCGAACTAAGTCAAACACATTCAAACAAAGCTTTTAAAATCAAATGAAAGTCAAACACATTCAAAAAAATCTTTTGAATCAAATGAAAGGTCAAACACATTCAAACAAAGATTTCTTGAATCAAATAAAATTCAAACACATTAAAACAAAGCTTTTGAATCAAATGAAGTCAAATACATTAAATAAAATTCAAATGCATTTAACACAGTTAATTGAAGCAAATGAAGTAAACTCATTCAAACAAAGTTTTTTAAATCGAATGAAATTCAAACAAATTAAAACAAAGCCTTTTGAATCGAATATAAATCAAATACATTCAACGAAGCTTATTAAATGAAATGACAGTCAAACACAAATAAACAAAGCCTTTTCAATCAAATTAAAGTCAAAACAAAAAAAAAATCATAGCTTTTTTAATCAAATGAAAGTCAAACACATATAAATAATGCTTTATAAATCGAATGAAAGTAAAATGCAATGAACGAAGCTAATTAAATCAAATGAAAGTTAAACACATTCAAACAAAGCTTTTAAAATCAAATGAAAGTTAAACACCTTCAAACAAAGGTTTTTGAATCATTTGAAAGTCTGACACATTCAAACAAAGTTTTTTGAATCATATGAAAGTCAAATGCATTCAACGAACTAATTGAATTAAATGACAATTAAACACATATAAAAAATGCTTTTAAAATCAAATTCAAGCCATATTCATAAAAGCAAAGATTTTTAAATCAAATGAAAGTCAAACACATTTAAACAATATTTTTGAATCAAATGAAAGCCAAACACATTGAAACAAAGCTTTTTGAATCATATGGAAGTTTACACATTTGAACAAAGGTTTTTTAATCGAACGAAAGTCAAATGCATTCAACGTATCTAATTGAATCAAATGAAAGTCAAACACATTCAAATATATCTTTTGAATGGAATGAAAGTCAAATGCATTCAACGAAGCTTATTGAATCAAATGAAATTCAAACAAGGCTTTTTAAGTGAAATGAAAGTCAAACACATATAGAATCGGGAGGTGGTTTGACTTTCGTAGACTTTCTCTCTTCTCTCTCTTCTCCATGGTTCTTCAATTTTGATCGGTTTCTTCATCAATCTTGATCTCCGATGGCTAAGAAGAAGAAGCAGAACACTCCTACACCTCAAGTAGCACAAAAGAAGAATACTCATGAACCTTTTGATACAATTTTGCAGAATCTGAGAAACTCAGGCACTTCATTTGCTCCTAGTCCGATTAAGGAGGTGGATGAGCTAGTTACTCCGGCGCCAGCATTGGAACATCCAGCATGTGGTGCTATTCCCAGAAGTGATGCTAAGACTATTGCTTTATTTGCTGAGGCAACTTCTACACCATATTCTTTGATTTCTAATAGAACAGTACCTAGGGTTTCTAGGTTTACTGTTCTATTGGTTGTTGGAGGATCTGGGCATCGATCTGAGCCAACAGTTCCCGGTCGTCATTCTACACCTCCCCCAGAGCAGAATGCATACAAAGATGGTGAGGATCGATCTATTCCCTTCTCTGGTAAGCTGAGTGCTAACGGAGCTACTCTGTCTTATGTTGCCTCGAAAGTTTTAGATGGGAAGCAGGTTGCTCAACTGCAGGAGTCTGAACTTAGTGCAGGTAATAAAAAGTGGTCTAATGCTTTAGTTTTTGATGTGGTTGGCTATTTCCCTACTATTGCTGTTGTCATCGATTTATAGCCCAGCAATGGAGCTCTATGCAGAAACCAGATGTTTATTGGCATGATGATGGGTATTTTATCGTTAATCTTTGTTCTGTTGATGATAAGGATAGTATACTTTGTTCTGGTCATCATATGTTTCTTGGAAAGCCAGCAATAGTTAAGCCATAGAGTCTAAAATTTGATTTCAGTGCAAAATTCTAAGAATTGTCCCTCTTTGGATCAAGTTCCCTAATCTGCCACTTAATTGCTGGGGATCTGACACTCTTAGCCGTATTGGCAGTCTGATTGGTGTGCCAATTTGTGCTGATGAATGTACAACTAGGCAACTTAGGGTGTCTTTTTCTAGGGTCCTAATTGAAATCGATGTTACAAAGCCTATGCCTCATTTTGTTCTGGTTGAGAGTCCTTTAAAAGGTGGCCATGACTGCTCTGTCAAATCTGCTCCTACTAGACCTAATCAGACTCAACCTAAGCAATCAGCTCCTGCAGCACCTACATAGATGCAGGCATGGTTTTCTAAGCCTAGTTAAGCTCCTGCTCTGCTCCTTCTGCTGCTACTACTTATGCTTCTTTTCATGGGCAGTCTATTATCACTCCACATGTTATTACTTCCTAGAAAAACTCAGATGAAGGATGGAGAATAGTTGGAAGAAAGACAGAGAGCCAGCAAACAAGAGTTAATCAGCCTGCTTCCACTTCTAATGCATTTGTTGCTCTATTTACAAATGAAATGGAAGGTGCTGGTGGTTTCACTATCAATCCAAGCAGGGGTGAGGTTAATCCCCCTCTGGTTCCATGTTTTACTCTATTTGGAATGTCAAGGGCCTAAATGACCCTGTCAAAGTTGCTTCTGTAAAGAAGTTGCTTCACTCTCATTCAGTTGATGTAATTAGTTTGCTTGAAACAAAATTTAAACTTAAAAATGTTTCTAGCTATCAAAAGAAGTTTTGCCCTTCCTGGTTATGGGTCTGCAATTATGATTATTCTCCTAAAGGGAGGATTTGGATTGGTTGGAATGCAGATAGAGTTACTATCAATGTTTTACAGGTCCATGAGCAATTTATTCATTGTCTTGTCTCTACTAGGGACTTTTCTATGCAGATTCAGCTCACTGTTACCTATGGCCTTCACTCTATTCATGATAGGCTTCCCATGTGGGAGGGTATTAGAAACCTATCTATTTTGCATTCACCTTTGTTATGTGCTGGTGATTTTAACTCTATGCTCTGCTCTTTAGATAGGCTATATGGTAATGATGTCACTAATTATGAGACTAGGGATTTTAAGAGTTTTGTTGATGATTTAAATCTTACTGAGGTCAAGAGCAAGGGAGCTTTCTATTCTTGGTCAAATAAGGCTCATACTGGCCTAGAACCTTTCTAGGATTGACAGAGTCTTTGGTAACTAATCTTGGTTGGATACTCATGGTCATGTTGAAACGGTCAATCTTTCTCCTTCCCTCTCTGGTCATATTCCAGTTCTTTTGGAAATTTGTCCTGCTCCTGCTGGGAAGGGTAGACCATTCAGATTTCTAAACTGTATTGTTGAGCATCCTTACTTTCTTGACAGTGTTTCTCAGGCCTGGGTTTCTGATGGTTCTGTCTGGCCGAAATTAAAATCTTTGAAATCTGGTATCAAATCCCTGAATAACAAGCAATTTGGTAATATTGGTGAGAAAATTGATCAAACTTATGCAGAGCTTACCGAGATTCAGAACCTAATGAATGAATTTGATGCTATTAAGGTTGTCAAGCAAAGGAATGATATCCAAGAAAGCATCTTCAAGCAAAAGTCCAGGATCAATTGGATTAAGCTTGGAGATGGCAATTCTCATTATTTTTTCTCAGTTATGAAGAATAGGCAAGCAAGGAATAGAATTGATTCTATCTTTGATTCTAATCAGATTTTGCTTAAGGATCCTGATGCCATTTCTTTTGAGATCATTTCTTTCTGTAAGTCTCTTTTAGGGACTAAGGCTCCTTGGCTGCATGTTGTTGATCTTGTTACTATGAGAAGAGGTAAGCAACTTAGCTCTGCTGCTCAGAGTATTCTTATTCAGCCTGTCTCTCATGCTGACATTGATGATGCTCTTTAAGGGAATTGATAACACAAAGGCTCCTGGTATGGATGGTTTTAATTCGTTATTCTTTAAGAGAGCATGGAATATTTTGAAAGATGATATTTATGCTAGTGTTATTGATTTCTTCAATAAGGGAACTTTTCCTAGTCAATGGAATTGCACAACTATCACTCTTGTTCCTAAAATCCCTAATACTTCTCATGTTAAGGATTTTAGGCCCATAGCATGTTGTAGTGTGGTCTATAAACTTATCTCCAAGATCATTACTGCTAGACTTTCTGCCGTCATTGGTGAGTTCATTTATGATGCTCAAGCAGGTTTCATTCCAGGAAAGCACATTGGAGATAATATCCTTCTTACAACCGAGTCGATTAAAGGCTATGATCACAAATTTATCTCTCCTAGATGCATGGTTAAGGTGGATTTGAAGAAAGCCTATGATTCAGTTGACTGGGGGGTCCTTGATTGTGCTCTGCTCTTCAGATAAGCTATATGGTAATGATGTCACTGATTATGAGACTAGGGATTTTCAGAGTTTTGTTGATGATTTAAATCTTACTGAGGTCAAGAGCAAGGGAGCTTTCTATTCTTGGTCAAATAAGGCTCATACTGGTCCTAGAACCCTTTCTAGGATTGACATAGTCTTTGGTAACCAAGCTTGGTTAGATTCTCATGGTCATGTTGAAACGGTCTTCCTTCCCTCTCTGATCATAGTCCAGTTCTTTTGGACATTTGTCCTGCTCCTTTTGGGAAGGGTAGACCATTCATATTTCTAAACTGCATTGCTGAGCATCCTGACTTTCTTGACCTCAGGCCTGGGTTTCTGATGGTTCTGTCTGGTAGAAATTAAAATATGTGAAATCTCGTATCAAGCCCCTTAATAACAAGCAGTTTGGTAATGTTGGTGAGAAAATTGATCAAGCTTATGTAGAGCTTACTGAGATTCAGAACCTAATGGCTCAGAATACTGATGATTTGGATTTGTATGCTAAGAAATCCGATGCTATTAAGGCTGTCAAGTACTGGAATGATATCCAAGAAAAATTCTTCAAGCAAAAGTCCAGGATCATATGGATTAAGCTTAGAGATGGCAATTTTCATTATTTTTTCTCAGTTATAAATACTAGGAAAGAAAGGAATAGAATTGATTCTACCTTTTATTCTAATCAGATTTTTCTTAAGGATCCTGATGCTATTTCTTTTAAGATCATTTCTTTTTATAAGTCTCTTTTAGGGACTAAAGCTCCTTGGCTGCCTGCTGTTGATCTTGTTACTATGAGAAGAGGTAAGCAACTTAGCTCTGCTGCTCAGAGTATTCTTATTCAGCCTGTTTCTCATGATGAAATTGATGATGCTCTTAAATGAATTGATAACACAAAGGCTCCTAGTATTGATGGTTTTAATTCTTTCTTCTTTAAGAGAGCTTGGCAATTGTGAAAGATGATATTTATGCTAGTGTTATTGATTTATTCACTAAGGGAACTTTACCTAGGCAATGGAATTGTACAACTATCACTCTTGTTCCTAAATTCCCTAACGCTTCTCATGTTAAGGATTTTAGGCCCATAGCATGTTGTAGTGTGGTCTATAAACTTATCTCCAAGATCATTACTGCTAGACTTTCTGCCGTCATTGGTGAGTTCATTTATGATGCTCAAGCAGGTTTCATTCCAGGAAAGCACATTGGAGATAATATCCTTCTTACAAACGAGTCGATTAAAGGCTATGATCACAAATTTATCTCTCCTAGATGCATGGTTAAGGTGGATTTGAAGAAAGCCTATGATTCAGTTGACTGGGGGTCCTTGATTGCTGTTATGCAAGAACTTGGTTTCCCTCTCATTAATGGTTTCCCTGCCCCTCCCTTTGAAGCTAAAAAAGGTTTGAGAAAAGGTGACCCTATGTCTCCTTTCCTTTTTGATATTAGAATGGAATATCTCTCTAGATGTCTCTATGAGCTTAGGTTAACTCCTGATATTAATTTCCTTCCTAGATGTGAAAAGTTAAGCCTAACTCATATGATGTTTGCTGATGATCTGTTGATGTTCTCTAGAGCTGATAGTGTCTCTGTCAAGCTTATTTTCCAAGCTTTTTCCAAATTTTCTAAAGCTTTTGGTCTTTTTGCTAACCTTGATAAAAGTGAAGTCTACTTTGGTGGAGTTCCTATTGAAGTCCAGACAGAGCTTAGAGAGCTTCTTGGTGTTTCTCAAGGTTCTATTCCTTTTAGATATCTTGGAGTCCCCCTCTCTTCTAAGAAGCTTACAATTGCTCAATGTAGGACTTTGGTTGAGAAAGTGACAGCTAGGATTCAAGGGTGGATGGCTAAACACTTGTCTTATGCTGGGAGGCTCCAGTTGGTTAAAAGTGTGCTGTTTGGTATTCAAACATATTGGGCTCAAATCTTCATCTTACCAAAGAAAATCCTGAAAGAGATTAAAGCTAGATTCAAATGCTTCCTTTGGACTGGCTCCTCTACTCCTGCTAGGAAATCTTTGGTTGCTTGGAACTATGTCTGTCTTCCTAAAGTTTGTGGTGGCTGGAATTTGCTCTCTCTCCCTGAGTGGAACAAAGCAGCTGTCACTAAGTTCCTTTAGGATATTTCTCACAAGGCTGACAATCTCTAGGTTAAATGGGTTCACATCTACTATTTCAAGCATAAAGAGTGTTGGACTGCCCCTATCCCTGCTAAATACTCTTGGTTCTTGAAGAAAATTTTAAGTTGTAGAGATATTGTGAATGATCAAGGGGGATGGGATAGCTGAATGCAGGGCAATAAAATGAAAATTAAGAAGCTCTATACTGCTATTAGACCTCAAGTTCCTAAGGTCCCTTGGAAAAGGGTTGTTTGTCACAATTTGCAACCCCTAAGAGTGTTTTTATCTTGTGGATAGCATTGTGGAATAGACTTGTCACTAAAGATAGGTTGCTACAATGGCACATACCCTGTGATCCTAAGTGTTTTCTTTGTCTTAAAGGAAATGAGAGTGTGCAACACTTATTCTTTAATTGTGATTACTCTAAGCAGGTCTGGGGCAAGTTTCAAAATATCTTACATGTTCCTAAACCTTTCAAGCAATTTGATGATGAGATTGAGTGGTTAAAGAAAATCTGCAGATGTTCTAGAGTAAAAAACAAAGTAATCCAAGTTGCTTTCACTGAAACAGTTTATGGCATTTGGATACAAAGGAATGCAGTTTTGTTCACTGGCTGCTATAATTCTGTTGAGGTTTTAGTCAGAGATATCCTTTTTCATACTGCTTGCAGATGCCCTGCTAGAACCAAGCATCTGATTATGCAGCTTTCTGCTGGCCTGTTTTGTTCTGCAGTTCTACCTGTGCTGTAACAGGTTTTATTCTTACAGTTTTGTTGTTACTGGTGTACTCTCTGGCAGTTTCTGTTTGTAAAGGTTTTTCTTGTTAATTTTGGTGTATAGTCTTCCTGTCTAGTCCTGCTGCTTGCTTTTTGCAGCTGAGTTTAGGTGGGACTGTTTGAGTCTTTTTGTTGCATGTTCTCTATCCTAGGAACCCTTCCTAGAAGATGGCTCGAGGCAGGGAATATGGTTGTTACTTCTCTTTATGGTGAACCCTTCCTAGAAGGTGGCACTGTAGAGTTTAGGAACTTTTTGGGGTTTGTTGCCCTTTTGTTAGGCTTATGTAGTTTAGGGTACGATTTAGCTTGCTGTAAGTTATATCTTGCTTTCTTTGCTCCTTTTGGTAATAAAATTCCTTATTTACCAAAAAAAAAAAAAAGTCAAACACATTAAAATGAAGCTTTTTGAATAGAATAAAAGTAAAACCAATTCAAACAAAGCTTTTAGAATCAAATGAAATTCAAACACATTCAAACAAATCTTTTTGAATCAAATGAAAGGTTAAACATGTTCAAACAAAGCTTTCTTGAATCAAATAAAAGTCAAACACATTCAAACAAAACTTTTTTGAATCAAATGAAGTTAAATACATTAAATAAAATTCAAATGCATTTAATGCAGTTAATTGAAGCAAATGAAGTAAACTCATTCAAACAAAGCTTTTTTAAATCGAATGAAATTCAAACAAATTAAAACAAAGCCTTTTGAATCGAATTTAAATCAAATACATTAAACGAAGCTTATTGAAATAAATGACAGTCAAACACATACAAACAAAGCTTTTTCAATCAAATTAAAGTCAAAACAGATAAAAAAAACAAAGCTTTTTTAATCAAATGAAAGTCCAACACATATAAACAAAGCTTTATAAATCGAATGAAAGTAAAATGCAATCAACAAAACTAATTAAATCAAATGAAAGTTAAACACATTCAAACAAAGCTTTTCAAATCCAACGAAAGAAAAACACCTTCAAACAAAGGTTTTTGAATCATCTGAAAGTCTGACACATTGAAACAAAGGTTTTTGAATCAAATGAAAGTCAAATACATTCAACTAACTAATTGAATTAAATGACAATTAAACACATATAAACAATGCTTTTAAAATCAAATTCAAGACATATTCATAAAAACAAAGTTTTTTAAATCAAATGAAAGTCAACCACATTAAAATGAAGCTTTTTTAATCGAATGAAAGTAAAACAATTTCAAACAAAGCTTTTTAAATCAAATGAAAGTCAAATACATTCAAACAAAGCTTTTTGAATCGAATAAAAGACAAATGCATTTAACGAAGCTTATTGGATCGAATAAAAGTCAAACACATTCAAACAAAGCTTTTAAAACAAATGAAAGTCAAACACATTAAAACAAAGCTTTTTGAATGGAATGAAAGTCAAAAGCATTCAACGAAGCTAATTGAATCAAATGAAATTTAAACACATTCAAACAAAGCTTTTTAAGTGAAATGAAAGTCAAACACATTAAAATGAAGCTTTTTGAATCAAATAAAAGTAAAACAAATTCAAATAAAGCTTTTTGAATCAAATGAAGGTCAAATACATTTAAACAAAGCTTTTTGAATCGAATAAAAGTCAAATGCATTCAATGAAGCTAATTGAATCGAATAAAAGTCACACACA